AGGGCATGTGTTCTAGACTGGTGTGGACCGGACACGTCTTTGTTGGATGGTTGCATGGGTGGCGAGATGGGCACGTGGACATGGAGGGGTGAATGAGAACGCGGTAGAGCTCGGGCACCTGGCGGCCCCGCGTCTGTGGAAGGGGCCTCTTGCCCCCTGCCCCTGTGGTGACCCAGGAACCAACCTCTCTGTCCATCAGGGAGGCCCTGTGAGACGTCACAGGTGAGGCCACCTGGCCAAGTCCTCCCACGTGAGGACATCTCGGCGGGCCTGGGCCGGCAGGGTGTGGGGGGTGGGGGGCGGGCACCTGGGACGCGTGCTGGTCAAACACAACGTCAAAGATGAAGGTCTTCTCCCGGGACCGGTGTGTACGCAGCGGGTCCTCAGGGTCCTCGCTGGGGTCCATGAGCACCACCATCTAGGAACCGTGAGGGCCGGGGGTCGGCTCCCGGATCAGGGCAGAGGAGCCCAGGCCTGGCTCTCTCCCCTGATGGCATCCAGGGCTCGGCCCGTGGCTGGGAGGGGCTGCAGGTGCCTGTGCTCACCCACAGGCAGCCTCCCCACTTCCATCCACTGGTGAGGGTGCAGCGACCCTAAAGCCCTGGCTGTGAGCCCCCCAGGCCTCCCAGGCTCTGCCTCCAGTCCTCACACACCAGCGTCCCCCCAGTGCCTGTCTGTCAGGCCCTGCCCGGATGGCACCCAGACACCAGCGATCAGCCAGACTGGGTGCTGAGGGTTAGGGAAGAGTCCCGCCAGCCACAGCACCCCCAGTCGCGCCCTGCAGGTGGGGGACCGGCTTTATGGACGTGGAGCTCAGAGCCAGTGGCATTGTGCACAACCCTGGGGATGTTTACCTGCCCATTTGCCTCTTGCTCAGGGGGCTGCGCCCCCCAGAGGAGAGGGGAGACAGAGGAGTGTGCCACAGAGGAGGAGGACGGGGCCCCCCAAGCTCTGGAGCCCGCCTGTCCCTCTGAGCTCCTCGGTGCCCCTCCCCAGGGCCCCTCCTTTCTCACATAAATACGTAATTATAAAGCAAGGTGTACGAGGCCCCTGGGGACAGGGAGGTTCAAAAGAGCCCTTCCCTGGGCACTGGGGGCAGGGCATCTAGAGACCCATGAGCTGTTTACTCTGGCGCGGGGCCTGGGGTACCCAGGGAGTCTTAGGGGCATGACCATGGGGACCGAGAGCCCCGCCCCCTGGCCACCTGCCCGTCTCACCCAGAGATGGCCAGAGCGCTCTGGGAGGAGGTCAGTCCGTCCCCATGATGGGCGACGTGCCAAGATCTGGGGACTGGGGAGACCACGTCGACAGCTACTATGGTTTCTGCCAGTTATTTGCTTTCCAATTATTCCGAGGGCTGCACTTGCCTCCTCACTCACGTTGGTTTAATCAGTGAGGTGCGCACAGTTTAAGCGTAAGGACTTGTCAGCCTGTGGACCCGCAGCCCCGCTGCCCCGGCTCTCGGCTGGCTTTGGGGCCACAATAGCCCTGTCTCTGCAGAGCGCGGGCCCTAGGAATCTGTCCATCTCTGCAGCATCCTGGGGAGTCGGCCGCCACGTCCCGCCTCCCAGGGCGGTCCCGTCATGAACTTATTTACGTTTGCACTGTCTCCTTGTTAAGACTGTACATGCTGTTCGCGGCTCAGCCAAAACCTTTCCTACAAGACTGTGTACCCCTCAGTCCAACAGTGGTCTCGTCAGGTCTCCGTGAACTCAGCACTAAGCCACCCCAGCCTCTCTGCAAACCGCACCCAGACGTCCGTCCCGGCCTCCTCCCCGCGATATCACCCCAGCGTCTCCCTGCTGTCGGGACTGGGCGCCCCCACCCAGGGGGCAGCCTCAGCCGGGTGCCGCGCCCCGCCCCCAGGCTCCTTTGCAAACTCATCCTGGGAACGTCCTGGAACAGCTGCCCGCTGAAGGCAGACGGGGGAATGCAGTTTAGGCACCACGTCTGCTCTTCCCCCGGATTTGGCATTTATTCTGGCTAGTGGTGACCATGGGCCCCGCACCTCGAAACCGCGCTGAGAGCTTGGCTCCTGAGCCGGTGTCCAAGGAGCGGGAATCCTTGACGACGTGGCAGCCAGTGGGCCACCCGTCTACAGGGTGGGGGTCAGTTGCCCGGCCCCTTCACAGCTGCACGGGCAGCCCCCCGGCTAAACCGCAGGCCCTGATGCCCTGTCCCGGCGCTGCCCGCCTGTCTCTGCGTGCTCCCGCGTTTGGGCCTGGAGCAGCCTCTGGACCGCCCCTCCCTGGACCACCGGCCTCTCCCACCTCCACGCCACTCAGAGAGGCTGCTCGTGGCCGCCTCTGTCTGCTTTGCTCTCTGTGCACTCAGCTCCCCGACCTTGCATTTTTATCTCTTGCTTGACGCCCTGCTCCATTCCCCCCTCCCGGGTAGGAAGGGAGTTGAGTTGGTGGGGTCAGGGGGCGGAGGGTGGGGGAACCAGGCCCTCGAGTCCCCCGTGGTTCCACCCCAGTGTGTGGAGCACCCGGGGCCACTGTGAGCTCTGATGTGAACTTTTCTGGGAGGGTGGAAGGAGTGAGTGAGTGGACGGGAGAGGGGGCCCAAGGTGGGCGACCACGTGCGGGGGTGGGGGTCCCACTCTGCAGCCCTGCGACAGCCTCACCTGGTCCCCCACCTTGTGGGCGATGACGGCGGCCCCTTCCTCCAGTTCTGTGTCGTTGAGCGGGCGGATCCGAAGAGCCACCTGTGGGCAGGACGCCGCTTCAGCTGCCTTCCAGGGACGCAGGGAGGGAGCGCCCCGTCCTTCCAGGCCACAGAGGCCCCGGCCCAGCGCCCACCCCCACCTCGGGTGAGCCTCCCGCTCCCGGTGAAGCAGTTAAGGCCGCGGAACCCCACCAGGCGCTGACTTCCTCGTCCACGGCTCACGATGGTGCTCAGAGGAGCACTGTGGTCAGGTGACCCTCCTTAGTCTGAACTGGGGAGACTGAGGCACAGACAGTCTCACACCTCGCCCTGGCTTCTTCACCCACTACCCAAGGGACCCGAACCTTCTTGCAGGCTGTGAGCACTTTCAGAGCAAGAATTGGTTTTCTAAGTAGAAAAGCCCTGGGCTCTGCCTCCCACCCTTCTCTGCCCCCCACCCCGCTCCAGCTGGGCTGTGAGGGGGTCCTACAGGAGGCCCCCTGGGATCTTGCCGACCCAGGCCCCAGACCTTCCTTGCTCATATGAGCTGTGGGCCCCCAGCAAGCCAGCGCCTTGCTCCTGGGCCTCTGCCTTCTCGCCTGTGAGATGGGGAGTCCCTCCTGGTAGGCATGGAGCTGTGCCTCTCCCAGACCCGGGACCGGGACACGACAGGGCTGCTCTGCGCTGAGCCTGCAGCTCAGGGCGCGCCCCTGGCCTCCACTCACCCCACTGCCTAATGGCCTGAGCCTGCACGTCACCTAGGGGATGGGTCTGGTCAGGCCTCTGGGGCCCTGATGGGGCCAGGTGTAGGGGGTGTCCACCCCACTCCATCTGGGGGTCATGGTCCAGGCCCTGAGCCCCCTGGGGAGTGAGGTTCAGAGGCCAAGGGTGAAGGGATGCTGGAGACTCGGGCTGAGGAGCAGGGGGTCACCAGGTCCTCATGAGGGACGGCTAAGCAGAGCAGGGACAGAGCAGGGCTGAGCAGATGGGGGCCCGGGCTGATGACAGCAGGTCACCGGAGCAGTGGGTCAGGAGGAGGCGGCCCGAGGGCTGTCCCGGCACGCGGGGAGCGCTCACCGTGAGCTGCTGGTCCTTGGGCTCCATCTCCCTCACGGCTGGGCTGCCCCGGGCCGGGGAGGGGCCCGCAGCAGGGCGGGAGGGCGTGGCTGGCTGCGGACAGGAGCTGCCTGCTCCCTGCTCTCCTGGCGGCAGACCTGTTAGCCCCGCCCCACGCGTGATGTCACCGGGTCCCTGGGGCCCCGCTCGTCCCTGAGTCTCAGCAGCTCGGGGGGCTGCCTCCGTGGTTCTTCGGGGGGCGCCCCTGTGTCAGACACCATGGGCTTCCTGTGGTGTGCCTGCCTGAGAGCCGCACCAGGCTTAGGACCGGAGCTACTCCCCCAAACGGGCTCACGTTCGATGGAATAGTCCCCTGGGAATACTTCCTGCCAAAGGCATGTCCACCGCAACCTTGAAAGGTACCTGCAGCTTTTCTTATTAGGATGTGGTTTTTAAGCCCTTTTCCCACACTGCTTGTCTGCACACACCCAGGGCCCCGCTCCCCTTAACCCTCGGGCGTATTTACTCCTTAAATGCTGCACCCAACTTTTCCACTGCGGTCTCCAGGGCAGTCACTGCACCATGAACCGTGCCTGCCAGGTGGCGCTGCCCGGCAGCGTGCCAGGTGACGGCAGCAGTGGAGAGCGCACGCTGGTGAAACAACTGCTGCATTTCCATACAGACCGCGGAGGCCAGATCAGCGAAGCCGAGGCCTGAGAACTGACTTCAGGGTGGGAAGGGCCCAGGGCCCCTCCACGTGCGGGGCTGGGCCTGGGGTTGCCTGGCCCAGCAGCATGGACCATCTGCTGTCTACGGGCAGGGCTGTGCCGGTCGCATCCAGGTCAACGCTGGGCTCCAGGACTTCTTGCCCATGTGAACGAGCCCCCCTAACATCCATGCTCCCCTGCCCCCTCCCCACCTCTACCCCCCACGAAGGTCCAGCCTGTGACCCCCTGGGAACTTGCTGGAGTCCACGTCACTGGGTTCCCCCATGAAGGCAAATCCCTCACACCCCAACTGCCCCGCAGCACGACGGAGACAAGGCCTGCGCGGGTGGCCAGGAGCCCAGAGCCTACCTGGGGCCCGAGCCACACGCTGGGGACCCTGCCCTCCCCACCGACCGGGTCAGGAAATTGCTCCATGAAGGGCCAGCCCCAGGACGCCCAGTTAGTTCTACAAAAGAAAGAACGCAAGCACAAGTGCTTAAGAAATTTTTATTCACAAACTATGTAAAAGTTACAACTAGCCAGTTTAAAACAGTGAAAAGTTAGGTTTTTAAAAGCTCTGTTAAAAATCTGTTAATATGATAGAACCATGTGCTTGTTCCTTCCTAGGGCCATGAAATTAGAAAACCTGGGTCTCGACACAGTGAAGTCTGAGGAACAGGACAGGAACCAAGAACTGCCGTGATTCTGAGGGGGTGAGGAGGAGCTGGAGGCGGCGGCCCTGCAGAGAAAGCACGGCTCCGGAGGGGGGAGGAGCCTGGAGCGCCTGGCCCGCGGCGGGAGGCCAGAGGCTGAGGGCGAGGCCCGGCGGTCCCGGGGGAGCCGGTGGGTCAGGGACCACTCCGCGCCCGCCAGCTGAGCCACGGGGCCGACGGCTGCCTGTGCCTCGCCCCGCAGGGTGTCAGGTCTGTACACAGTACGGGTCATGGCTGTGAACTCCAGGCGTCACTGCCTTTTAAACTAAACTTCAGGTTCTGGGAGAAAGACAGACGTGGAAGAACTGCCGTTTCACAAGGCACGGAGGACAGCACGACGCTGCGGTGAAGACGGGCCGAGGTACACGGGTTTGCTCAGTCCCTCCCGGGAGGGGAGGGTTAAATATTCAGACAGGTGACAACTGTCAGTTTAAGTCTTCAAACCTGTGTGACTGAGCAAAAGGCTAAAGGGTTCTTTCTCATCAGGTGAACTGGCAAGTGCAGGAAACAAAACAGAAAGAAGAAACCGTGTCTGGGCTGACGCATTGCTTCTCAGAGCTCAGCTGAAAAGGAGGGGGCCCCGAGGGCGGCTGAGGACCCTCCAGCCTCTCGAGTGCAGTGCTGGACACAACGAGCCCAAGGCGGCTGCGACTGCGGCAGACGGAGAGGCACCGAGGTCAAGGCCGCTATCTACACTCAAAGAGGAGAAAGACAGCTTTTTCATACACGTTTGCTTTATTTCCGCGTTCAGCCTGTTGAGAACCTGTCACAACCTGAATGGCAGGGGGTGCACCGCCCCGAGGAGCTCCCCTGCTGGCGGCCAGGGAGCCCAAGGGGCCTGTGCGGCTGTGCAAGCGCCGACCGCGGGAGGCAGGGCGCCGTCTGCAGTGCGAGAGATCCCCGAGGGACAGCGCCGTCACGCCTCTGCTGCGGCGGGCGCCTGGGACTGAAAGGCACAGCGACGTGTGGAGATGGCAACTTCCAGGCGCGGCCTCGGTCCAGAGCAACAGAAGCACAGGTAGAAATTCAGGATGTGCAGGCTTTCTGCAAAAGGATGAGCTTGGTTCCAGCACAGCACACGGCAACACTGCAACAAGGAACACAGCTTACCCTCCGTCCTGAATGAGGGGCGGCGGCAGGCTGGGCGGCGGCGGCCCTGACCCTGGGAGCAGCAGGTGGAGGGATGCTCCAGACTGATGCCTGTGGACAGGGGCCGCCTGGACAGGGTAGCCTCCACGCCCGCGCTCCCTGCCACGGGGCCACATGGCCAGACAACCCTGTTCCCCCCACAGATACACGGTCAGCTCTGAGAGCAGTGCCCCAGGTCCTCTGTCACTCAAGTCTACGTTCAAGCCACAGCTGACAGGATTCTGGAGGCTCTTGTCCAGACCAAGCGGGGACTGACCGTGAACAGGTGCTGCGGCTGGTGCGGCCGCCCGTCTGATGGGCATCCCTGTCTTCTCCCAGCAAAGCCTCCCTTGGCCCTCTTTGTGCCCACGGTCAAGCCCTACTGGGTTTCAGAGGAACATCGCTCCCTAAACATGGAGTTCAAGGACCAGAGTGCGGACACCAGGGTCTCACCGGACTCCTCATGGCTCACAGGCAAGGATGTGGCTAACGCTGGATACAGGAAACTGGGCTTCAATTGCCACCTCCTCGCTTACTAAACAGGACGCCAACAGCTCCCCATCCCGTCTTACCACAGTGCTCTCGGATCACTCCTGATTTCCAAGGGGAATAATCTCTTCAGTGACAAAAAACTCGATGGTCTCCTCCTCCCAGTCGTCCACGTTGCTGTCCAGCTCGTCAGTGTCCACACCTGTGGGGGGTTTGCCGGTCACTCGTGTATGTGTGGGGCACAAATCTGTGGAAGAGGCCACCCCCACCCCACTCCCCACCACAGGCCAGTGTGAAAACCGCAAGGTCCCTGCAGAGGAAGGTCCATGGCCTTGACCTGCAGGCAGCAAGAAACTCAGTTCTGTCAGGAGTCTTTTAAAGACTGTTTATGATCCTTTTAAGAGGACTTCCCTGGGGGTCCAGTGGTTAGGACTCCCCCTCTGACAGCTGGAGCCCAGGGGCAATCCCTTGTCAGAGTGCTAAGACCCCACAAGCCACAAGCTGCGGCCAAAAAAAAAAAAGGTTATCTTTAATTCAGGCAACACTTGCATGTTTTCCGAAAAAATCTGGGAAAAGATCCAAAAGGGGAAAAATATTTTAACTATATGCTGTAAAAGGTGTGTCTTGGGCTAACAAGAGTTACCGCCTCGTAATTCTAGCCGTGCATTTTTCTGCTCCATATAGAGCTCTTGAGCCATTTTCCGGTATTTCCGGAAATCTTCCATCATGGTTCGTCTTCTCTCCACTAATTCCTGTGTGCAAAATTGGGAAGAACTTACAGGACGAACACTTACCTCACACCATTGTCTTCACTTTGCTCAACCAAGTGGGAATCAAACACGGTCAGCGGTGCCCAGCCTGACGGACAGGATGGCGGAGGGCTCCACTAGAGACGGTGGGGCGGGCGCACCGGCCGCGTCTGCTCGCCCCAGCTTCCTCGAGCGGCCCCTCCGTCACGCCCTCCCGTGGGCGGAAGCCAACCCCGGGGTCTGTCCCTCCGCCTGGTGTTGGCCCCTGCCCTGAGGCGACAGGGACTGTCTGGGCGCTCCCCTCATGCCTGGGGACAGGGCTAACCTTTGAGGCTTTGGACTGGCTCAAACGATCCTTCTGTTCAAAGATCTTGGAGTATTTCTTCAGATCCTTTTTAATTTGCTGAAACAAAGACAAGTCCCTCAGGATCGGCACATTCAAAGCCAAGAGCCACAGACGTGCTCCTCGGGGCTGCAGCATCAACGGTTAGCAGAGCATGGCCACCGGAGTGCTCAACACGGCGCTGGCCTCCACGTTTCCCGCTGGCAGCCTTCCTTCCCCAGGACACACTCACCCCTCAGAAGAGCCCTGATAAACACCGTGTGTCCCACCAGTTAGGTAAATCCCAGGTCTTACAGTCTCACCAGGACTTTCTAGCAGCCCATCACCCTTCACCCGCCCTTCCATTTCCAGAAACTTCCTACAACGGTTCTGATGTGGTCTCACAACCCAAATCTGTTTCCCCTGCTGAAACTACCCTCTTCCTTTTGGTTCTCATTGCTCCGCATTTCCTCAAAGGGTCTGCTGTGAAAGCCACACCTCCATTCCTCACTCATTATCACCCTGACAGTATCAGGAAGGAAAACCTTCTCTTCATGCCAGTCACTGCCACGTCCCTGCAGCTGATGAGGAAAACCAGACCTTGATCTGATCCTGGCTCAGGAGCGTGGGGGGCCGAGGCCTCCAGAGCAGCTGGCAGAAGCGGTCCTTGCTGTTCTTCTGCAGAAGGCGGCCTTGGAAGGTCCACAGCCAGTAGGCATTGTCCACCTGGAAGAGAGCAGAGCCTCGCTAGCTGCCCACCCCACCAGATGACCCCAGGACAGACTCTGAATCCCGTCAACAGACCTGACAAAATTCACCATGTCACTCAACAAATGTCTGAGAACCAATCATTTGCCAGTGTTGCTGGCACTGGGGGACACCGTGAGCAGGGGAGGACCGTGGTGAACAGACAGCTCAGAGGATGCACTGGCGGGACAGCGCAGTGCGTGCAGCAGCCAGAACAGCGCCAGCAGAGCACTCGTGCCGGAACACAGACTGACAGCCCGCCGCCCCCGCTCAGCAGACACCCCTTCTGCACCAAGACCTTCTTGATGAAGGAAGCGGTGCCTACACCCTGGTGGGCTCCCGCTACTACTCGGGGGGCAGCAAACAGAGTGGTCAGCACACTCAGAGGACTTAGTGTCAGGGCAGGCCTTGGTGAGGAGACCTCTAAACAACAGGCCTGGGCACGGCCAACACACCCTGACCTGAACACAAGTACGGCATTCAAGACACTGCTTCCAGCAACATTTGCAAAGCTCTTGCTCCTAAAACTTCACTAAACATAATCACTCTGTCTTGACTGGTAAACGTGTGTGAGCTGGTTCAACTGTGAACACCTCAATCAGTAAAAATAGTTATTAAATATAAAGAAGGATCTTCAGCAAATTTTACCAGCAATGGGAATACTGGGCTTATGAAAAAGACAGTATAGACTGTAACTTGTACAGACACAAACTTCTCAGGCCCTGACTCTCTCAAGACCCAGAGGAAGTGGGTCGTCTCCCAGGAAAGTGCCAGTGCACACACAGCTTCCACCCTTCCAGGGAGGCCCCAGGCCGAGAAGCCCCCTCCCCGGCAGACTTCACAGCAGTTCCTGCAAGCGCTGAGTCCTGCATCTACCCCCACCAATACAGCCTCAGATCTTCCGCTGAAGAGAGAGGATGATCTTTTCAGGAAGTTAAAAACAGAAATGACATGTTTTCTCACATACCAGTTCGGTCAGCAAATCCTGACTGAAGGCTAACAATGGGCCAGCAGTTTCAGATGCTAGGGATGTAGCTCAGGAGAAATGGCCCCTGTCCTCGTAATGTCTCAAGCCAGCAGGAAGAGAGGACAATGAATGGCCAACAATGGCTAAGGCGAGTTCATGCTGGTGAGCGGGGGCACCATGAGAACACGGGGGAGGCAGAGACGATGCAGGGACCAGGCTGGGGGAGCCTCTGTGGACAAGGGCAGGGGACCCTTGACGGCAAGACGCCCCGCCACCCACAGAGCTACAGTCCTGGTGTGGGTGCATGGGCCCTGAGGCAGGAACAAGCAGGGTGCCCGGTGTACCTTGTGGCTCCACCAGGACACGGAGGTGACGACATAGCGCCCAGTGGGGTCCCACTCCACGTCGGAGGCCATGTAGTGCTCTGCGATGTTCATGACTGTGCAGTCTGAAGTGTCAACAAACGCCAAGGCGCCGTTCATACTGGGGAGACAGCACGGCTGGAGTCACCGAGAGCCGCGTCTGCGCCCGCCCTCGGCTCAGCGTGAACAGGCTTGGACTGGGAAGCCGGGTGTCCCGCCTGATCGTGGACACGGAAGTGATCACAGCGACACAGACGAGGCCCAGGGCACACAAGCACCGCAGTGTCTGCTGTGATTGCTCCCGGAGGAAAGGCTGGCAGAGGCCAAGCTGCCAAACCACAGCAAGAGGCGCCCAGTGAGGCGGGAGCCCCACGGGCCCACAGGAGGCACCGCGCGCTTGTCGCAGGTTCTGCACGGCTGCCCAACAACCAGGTGCTCGTGGGCTCCCAGCCTGACCAAACACCTTTCCCACACAGCACGCGGTGCTCACAGCGGGGAACTGGGTCACCAGAGAGCCTGTGTCCTCAGTCCCCGGTGGAAGCGTCTGCAAGGGGCCTGGTCCTGGCCACGTCTGGGCAGCAGGATGGAGACACCCCACGATTCACCCAGGTCGGGACACCCTGTGGGAGGACCTGTCCCCATGCTCTCAGGGAGGCAGGAGAGCAATCTGCGGGGCCGGAGTCCGGGCCTGGGGCACGGCCTCCCCCAGCCCGCAGCCCCGCGCAGGGCGTCAGCAGAACCCACCTCCGAAGGCCAGCCAGCACAACGAACTGTCCTTGGGGGCTCCAGAAGATGGTGTTGGCCTGCTGCTTGTCGAACATCTCTGGAAGGAGAGGGTCAGAGGTCAGAGTGCAGCCGAGTCGGGGATACCCCATGGGTGTGCACACCAGACTGAGGTGCCGCGCCTGCATCGTTAGGGGGGCCTGGAGGGGTTCTCAAACTGCAATGCTACTTTAAATGACACAGCACTGCGCCTGATAGAGTAATCAGACGAAGCACCCCACTCAGGCCGTGCTACCGAGGGGACTCGACACCAGGCTAAGGAGTCCAGCTTCCATCAGATTCTCAAAGAGATGCATGACCCCAAAAGCCTAGAAATCCATTCCAGTGACTCATTTTTTAACTGAAAAAAGCTAATCCCACCATCTCTCCCAATGCTAACTGCTCAGTCCTGAAAGGGTGGAGCCTGGTCATTATCTCTTTACTCAGGAGGGAGGAGCAGGGTGGGGAGGGGGACAGCACCACCCTAATAGGGAGGGGCAGGATTCTCAGACCAAGACCAAGGGAAAGCACAGAGTGTGGTGATCTGCAGGCTGACCCTGCAAGGGCAGGCAGGGTTGCAGGGGGCCTGGAAAGCAGAGGCACTTCGATGCTTGCTGTATCATAACTGACTTTACAACAGGAGACCATGAAGTCTTCAGTTGTCCAAATTTCCTTTCATGACAAAGAAACTAATAACACTCAGTCTTGTGACCACCAGTTGACGACACCACAAAGCGATGCTCCCACAGACACCACCGCTCAGGAGTGCACAGAAGGCCCGTCCTTTGCGACAAACTCCCTCGGCGCCACCATCAGCACCAGCCCACACGACCCTCTGTCCAGCCAAGCACTCTCCCAGGAGCAATAACCAAGCTCTGCTCCTGGGCTCCCATTCAGCTACTCTGAGACAGGCACAGGCGGCACTTACTGATAAGCTCAATCTTCCCGTTGCTCTTTACGTGGTAGAAGGAAACAGATATCCGGGGCGCCTCCCCATGCAGCACAGCAAACTTACTTCCGTTTGGCTCCCAGGCAAAGGCGATGATGGTTTCTAAGGCCAGGAAAAAAGGGTGAGCTCCTTAGTCACAGAACATCATTTTCAGTTAAGGCTGTTCAACCAGAGACGCCCCAGATTCTTCGGTTCATTAAAAGGCCCACAAGCAGCACAGCACAAAGACAGCAGGCTGAGCCCCATGGAGCCGCCACGGCCGGCAGGCACCCCCTGTACCCCGACCCCTGCCACAGGGGCAGGGCGGCTGGGGGTAAGCCCCTCACTCTCCTCAGAGCACTGGACGGGGTCATGCCCTCTACCAGGCAGTGCCTTCCCATCCTCCTCACCCCAGCGAAACAGGATATACAGGCTAAATGGTCCACCTAATGGCGGGAACACTGTCTCAAGTTTTCAGGAGTCCAAAAAACCAAAACACCACTACTAAACTGAGCACTTCCACAGGTAAGAGGACAAGCCCTTCAGCTGCATTGCTGGGTGTGTGGTGAAAACCTGCTCTTCACTCTCCTAAGCGTGGAACGGCTTGAACCTGTGTCCCTCTGCTATGTAAGCAGATCACATGGTATGAATGAAAAAAAGGGGGGCGTCTCTTCACTTGGCAACTGGAAAGGCTAAGAGACTGAAGCGGGGAAAGACAAAGAAACCGTGAACCAATGTATGCTTTGTAACATATAGACAGACGCCTGACCTCGGCCAGCCTGCCCGGGCCGTGAACTCCCAGGGAAGCGTGTGAGTAGGTGATGGCTCGGGAGCCACTCAACCAAAGGACAGGACAGTGGCACTTGCCTTTCATCTCGACCACATCAACAGGCACCTGTTTTTCTCTCATTCGAAATATTTCAAAATTTGTGACAACACCCTGTTTAAAAGAAAAAAGAAGGGGTGACATTCTGAAAACTGAAAGCATGAGGAAGACTTAAAGGACAACTTAAGAATTTAATGAAGGATTAAACGTATACACCTGGTAGAGACAAGAAACTCGGCAGTGACTGAAATGGTGAAAACAAGAGCTCTTCAATGCTGATGAAGGCAGAGACTGGTGCATTGTATGGAGAAGAAACGGGCCCCACGGCCCCAACCCAGACACAACTTTAAGGCCTGCCCTAAGGTCACCTCCAGCAGACAGGCCCAGGGATCCGTACTGTGGCTTCTCTGCAAACCTTCTGTAGCGCCCCGAAGGCCCACCAACTGGGACTGATCCAATTATTATTTCAAAACAATGGAACGTCCAGGTTCATGTAGAAAGCTGCATTATCCCTACGTAATAGCCAAAAGATGGAGACGACCCACAGGCCCACCAAAGGGTAAATGGGCAAACACGACACAACACAGGGGACACTGCTCAGCCATGGAGAGGGTGAGGGGCAAGCCCGCGCCCCACGCTCGGCGGAGGAAGCCAGCCACGGGAGGCCACAGAGCAGGACGCTGTTCCTGAGGAACGGCCAGAGCCAGGACGCGGCAGAGCAGGCGAGGGGGTGTCAGGAACGGGTGCTGGCTGCTGCGGGGGCATTTCTTTCGGGGGAGAGGGAATGTTCTGGAGCTAAGACCGCGGCGACTGCTGCACGACTGCTACGTGACTGCATACCTCAAACGTTTGTGAAAAAAATACTTCCGTTAGAAGGAAAAACCCACGAGTTTGTATATAAACAAATGTTAGATGATGCAAAGTCTGGATGCAGAACTGTGTCAAGCGTGCTATTCTGTTTCTCCAAAGAGAAACCTAGAGAAAACAATGTATTGTTTTAACACCTACAGAGAAGGGAGGTGGGTGCCTGGAGGAGATCTCCCTGTGTTCTCTTGTGAGCTCTGACCTATCTCAACTAAGTGACGCATCACCCACTCAGTTTACAGGAAAGAATTACACTCCGCTGCTGGAATATGACAGTTCTAGCCATGATGCAACAGCTAACTTTTGGTGCCAGGTGGGCCTGAAAAAAGTCTGAAGTTTGAACCAAAAATCCACGAACACCGCCACACTCCCTCCCACCCCCCAAACAGAACTGAGTAGGCAGAATGACCCCGCCCACTGGTGTCCACTTACCTGGGTGCCTTTTGGAGTCCTGTCTACTTTAACACACAAGTAATCTCCATTTTTCTGCCAATGCAGCTTGCAATCCACAACGTTAAATAGGTTTCTAACTCTGATCTCTTGTCTGGTAGGCAGCTGCATCAGGGTTACCCTGGCTGGAATATCTTTATCTTCAGGTACCCAAAAGGCTATTATGTTACCACCAGGGGACCAAGAAAAATCTCTGCAGAAGAAGAAAATAAAATGTTTACCAGGACCGGCTGACCCGTAATGAGGAAGGCACAGAGAACAAAAGAGCTCACTCACTGTGTAAAGTGGGGCCCTGGCACATTCACCTCCCAGGACAGCATGCAAGCCAATACCACCGAGTGCCCACCTCCAGAGGCCTGCTCTGGGCTTCCTGGGCAGCCCGTTCTGTCCCCAGGACCACCGGGGGCTTTGGCAGACTCACTGGGCCAGTGTGCAGAGAGGCGCTGATAACACCGCCTACCAATATGGGGGTCATAGGACTGAAGCCTCGGCTCTGAAACCCCACTCACACTCTTAACCATGAGTCAAGTAAAATAAACTTTAGGTTGATGGACCATCTATGTGATTTCTGAATATTCATTAAGAGGTCAAAGGGAGAAAACCCCAGATTAAAAAAAGTAAGTGAAGGAAGAAGTAGGAGCAATTCTCTTCACTGCAACAATTTAAAAGTGCCATTAACAAACAATTCACGAGTTCCTGTCCACGCAGAACATCTTCACTTTTGCTTTTACTGAGAATTAACGCCCACTTTTAATTATAAGCCATAACTTTGCCCAATATATAATAGAACAGTAAAAACTGTGCACATTCCCTGCACTGCTGATATTTCACTGCCCCGAGATTTCAGGAGGATAAAGACGTGCCTACTCTCTGACAGACCAAACCAGTCACAGCTCAAAGGCCAAGCAAACCCATGGCGTACACCATCAGACTGACATGGAGACTCCCGACAAAGAGGAGACTCCTCTTCCTCAAAGACTGTGCCCCCAAGTCGCCCGTCCCCAGGCGGGAACGTGAAAGGGAGCAGCCCTTGAGACGTCCCTACGAGCAGGAGCGGAGAACGCTGACGTGGCCACCAACAAGCAGCCCACGGCAGCAGGCACGAGCCCACAGTGGCATCCCAATGCCCCGTGACTGGCACCAGCATTTTCTCCAACGGTATAGGAGCCAGGTGCTAAAGGAGGGAGTTAATCCCCACTCCCACCCCACGCTGAGAGTCACCTACTTTATGCCAGAGATCTTCAAGCTCTTCTTGTCCAAGAGACCCATAGACTGTGGAAAAAAAGAGGTCACAACGGTGTCAAATCAGACCACTGTCTCAACAGCACATACAATTCTTTACAGCGTGAGCTTGCTGAGGGAGCAGTGTGGGCACAGGGCAACAGACCAACTGGGACACCATCACCCACAGCACACCCTCCCAGGGCCGTTCCAACCACTCCCATCCCAGCTCCCCGTGGCAGAAGAAGACCCGAACCAGGGCCTGAGAACCCGAAAGGCAGACACCGGAAGACCACCCTCTCTCCTCTCAGCCACCCACACACTAAGGAAAGCTCTGCACCCGCAACAGCTCCTGACAGGGCAGCTTAAGTCAGGTAATCAAATAAGCCACTTACAGGAGTTTCATAGATACTGAGAGTATCAAGTGTCATTCTGGCAAAAAATTTACCATCGTGGCTCCACCTGAGGAAAAAAAAAGAAGTGCCAAGCTGGTCGATGAAGATGGGGGTACAGAGGCCACCGTGGCTACCCAGGTCCACTTACTTAAAGATAGGCCAGTGGGCTGAGCTCTCACAGTGGAAACCTCTCTTCTTCTGCCCGGTGAGGATGTCCCAGATGATGATGGCCTGGGGGTCATCCTGAGTGTCCATCAGGGGGCTGAAGGTCACCAGGTACCTGCAGCAGAGGGCACGGCATCAGCCCCTGCGCCCCCGCCTCCTCTGTGAGCATGTGTCAAGAACCAGCCACGGGGGCGTGACGGGCTTCTGCTCGCAAACGTGACTCCAGGCACAAGGGAGGGAGACTCCTGGGACAAGCATTCAAGACTCGTGCAACCAGCACCTTCTCCAGCCCTCCAGGCTCCCCAAAAACGTCATCCTGTCCAGAGAGCCCACCCCAGATACAGAGCAGAAGCACTGTGGCACACACCAGTCAGGCCTGCCCGGCACAGCAGCGTGCTCCAAGGGTCACCTTAAAACGTTCCTCTGATAAAATCAGAACAAGGAAAGATCCAGTGGGTTCTCAACAAAAGTCCGCTGTGTGCACTAGCGGAAGGGGTGGTGTGGAATGCTCACACTTTCTTTTTCTTGGACTCATCAGGTAAAGAGCACCAGCGGTCATGAGCAGCACCCAAAGGGGACTGGTCTGGGCCCTGCAGTGGACACCAATGGCAGCGGGTGCTCAAGGCCCTTGTTAGACGACCGGGTTTACACACACGTGTGGAGAGAGGAAGTGATAAAAGCACATGCAACAAAAAATATGACCCATCACGGTAAAGAGCACACAGGAATCTTCTGTGCTCTCTTATGACGATTCTACTTTACAGTGGCAATTATTGCAGAATAAAGCTTTAGAAAATCACCTACAGAGGGCTGGCAGTACCCCATTTGCCATTTTATAACATCTTACCTTTCACAAGGTGAGAAATCGATAAGCTGAACCCCTTGGTGGCTGAATCTCTGAATCTGTTTGAATTTCTCTCCCCCCCACAGAGCAATGCCTCGCTGGTGAAAGGTGGCCAGGTAGGTTCCCTTAGGAGACCAACGCACATATGTCTCTGTCCATCGCTGTGGAAAAAGCCAGTGCCAACGTTAACACAACAAAAAAACCAAACACAAAGACTCCAAAGTCTATGATGAATTTAGTTCCCAAACTTTTAACTAAAAATACAAGAAGCCTATTCACTTCGTAGGATTTGTTTCAAAGCTGGAAGAATAAAAGTTGCTGTCAAGAGGGGTAACCTCAAAGCACATGACACTTCACCTGCTCATGTACCAAGCTCCTCTTTTTCTTTCTGGCCATGCCACGCGGCTTGTGGGATCTCGGTTCCCTGATCAGGGATCAAACCAAGACCCGTGGCAGTGAAAGTGCAGAGTCCTAACCACTGGACCGCCAGGGAATTCCCACCACACCCTTCTTGGTTAAGGAAACCCAGCAGTGAGTCCCTGACTGGCAGCAAATACCCACCGCTCTCTCCTCGATGGAGACCGGGTCCTTCACATCATTCCAGAATATGGAAGTGCGGTCCCCGCTCTCGAAGATCACACTGTACTGATCTCTGCACTCTGCCTCTTCAAGCCAGTAGCGCAGGTTTCCCTAAAGGAGCCAAGCGCAAGGGATGGAATACGTTTCCTTAATTTTAGCCGAAGAAAAATTATATTCATAACTGTCACACTTAGCAACATGACAAATTCACTCAGCATCGTTAATTCCTAAGGAAGTCACCGCTTCAAGCCCAGAGGCTAGCCACCATTTCTTGTAATTACATACAGATTTTATGCAACATACCAGGTCTTTGAAAGGTTGTTTCTCTGGAATATCCCATTCATCACTGATGGTCATGTACCTAGAAGATCAGTGACACTCAGATGACCACGAGGGTGAGTGGTCCTCGGCCAGGTAGTACTGCACCCACCCTTCCCCGAAAAGGACAGTCTTTGCTTGGTCATTATTGGTGAGGGGGTGCTGGGGGGGGGGGGGCAGCTGGCCGGGGATGTCAAACGACCCTACCCTGTGTGATGGGAGAGTGCAGCCTCCTGAAAGGCCACTAAGTACCCCCCGGCCTCCTGGGGCAGAAAGGCCTGACCATGCCTGCTTAGGAAGATGTCCCGGTTCTCCTGGGCTGAGTCAGAACTTACTTGTCAAAATCGGTGAAGAGGTTGACTCTGAACGTGTGCTGCTTGTCGAGCTTGTAGCCATCAGCATTTTTCACAGCGTCCAACGCATGGGCAGGGGATGCGTATTCCAGGAAAATATACCTGAATCGAGGGAGAGGGCAACTCACAGGAGTGCAGACCCAAAGAACAGGCAGGTCATGCTCCACAAGCCCAGGCCCAGGCAGGGCTTGTAGGCACCATGAGCATCCATGACCCGTTTGCCTGCCACGTCCTGGAAGCAGTCAGGTCCCTAGCAGAGGAGCTCTAAACATGAACAGAATCCCAACACAAGAGCCAATGCCTCTAAAATTAACCAAAAATGCTCACTATCCTGACTATGGTAACTGTTTTATGGATGTACATGTTCATCAAAACTTACGAAATTGTACACTTTAAAACTCTCTGACTTGACTGTATGTCAAGTATCTTTCAACAAAGCTGTCTATAAAAAACAAGAATAAAAAAAAAAAAGAGTATTCTGATACTGTGTATTATAGGCAAAATCACAAAGGCTCTCAGAGAATGTTTCATTTTAATAAAAATCACACATGCAGCTGCTCCAAAAAAGGTTATCCTCCCACCTTTCTGAAGCAGAAAATGTAAGAAATATTACTTGTGTGTGATCAATTTCCAAGAAATTAAATCTATTCTAGGCAGTATCTAAAATCTGAAATTAAAAAATGAAGTTTATACTACTTTCTCATTCCTGTCCCATAAAAGATGATTTTGCCCATACTCAGAGGTTTATGTTTTCATGAAATTTTAATGGAGAAAGTCTGACAAGTGTGTGGCGCAACCAACAGAACTCTGATTACTGCCGGCTGAGCACAAGCTGGGAACGAGCACGCGGGTGTCCCTGGGTATCGCCCAGAGGCGCTGCAGAAGGGCCACTGTGCAGGCGCACTCTCTCCTGTACCCAGAAGAGGACAGGCTTCCCAACTGCTGCTCAAAACAGTCCGTCGACAGGAAAACAGATAAACTGTCCCATGACAAAGCACCACAGCGTTTACAAGGAAGCAATCAGAACTACATTTACCAACACAGAAAATCTAATATTGAATTTAAAAAGCAAACCGCAGGACACATACCTCATGCCATCATTTTTAAAAGACACGATATTTTAGGTAACACCACAAAAAAGTTACCAACTGAACAATGACACAGTGCTTTCCTCTAGACTCTAACAAGTACCCCCATTTCAGATGTTAAAATGTGGGAGAAAAGCATATTTTAGAATCAAAATACCACAGGTCAGATGTTCCTAAAGTCCTGCCAGCCCCCAGATCTGCCTGATCTACCTCGCATCAATCACTGTTCAAGGACAGAAGAGACCGGGCTCCGGTGTCCCAGCAGCTCAGCAGCCAGCTCACAAAGCCCAGCTCAGAGCCGGACGCCCTCCTCCCCCCGACTGACGGCCCCTGCCCCGAGGCCCTGCCAGCTGAGGGCCGCCTCGCACACAAGGCCGGCTGGGCCACCGCGCTCGCCCATCCACCGGAGTCCGCAGCGCACCATCGCGCCGTCACCTTCACGGCGCCAGCTGCCAAGAAAACACAAACCACACGTCCGTGCTGGAGGACATCACTCACCCTTTTGTCCTTCCGTCCTCCTCTGGATAAAAATCGTTTGTGATTTTCCCAAACTTGGAGAAGATCTTATGGATGACGTTTTTGAGTTTCTCCAGGCGGTCAGGCCCCACCTGAGGCACGTTGTCGACCACAATCACTGAGTCGATCCCGTCTGCTTCCTGTGGCCGGTCTTTGAGCACGTCCCCCAGCAACTCTGCAGGAGGGGAAGGTGTGCCGAGTGATTTTCTCTCACCAAGTTAATGCACCAGGTTAGCACACTGAACAAATCTCCAAAAAGTAAAACATGCATAATTAATCTGACTGCTTTTGCTCCGAACATTAAGATATTACAGCCCTGGCTTGACTAAAAATTTAAACTTGAAATAATTGGGAGGACTGTAACTCTTTGCACACCCCCTAACAGTCAAAATATGTCAATAATAGGCAATATTAAATGAATTTTTAAAAAATTTTTAAAAACTTTCCCCTCTATCCCCAAATGAATTTTTTTAAAAAAGCCTTTAACAATGAAGAGGCAAAGAGGATGGACTTCTACCGGAAAAAAACAAAGTGAGCTGAGGAACACTTGTGGTAAGCCTTCTCCGACCCACCTCTCTTACAAACTCATCACCCAAGGTTCTTCACGTAAAGCAGCCTTGTTTGAAGACAGCATGGGACGGAGACTGGCACTTAAACCAGGCAACTAAGACTACAGAAGCTCAGGAAAGCACGCAAGTGATGCTTTAGGTTGCGGTGTCCCCAGCTGGACAAAATACCTGGCGGTATTATCACAGGGAGACACCAGCCATTTAGACATTAGATTGTAAACACTTAGAACAGTGCTTGGAACATAGCAAGAAACATCAACTAGTATTTTCATAACTTCATGCAAAAGCTCAAAATGCATTCTGTTCATGTGACAGAACAGAAATTAAAATCACAGAACCAAATCTTAAGTGCTCTCAGTAACACAGATCTTCCTCGACTTATAATGGGGTTACTTCCCATAAACCCATTTTTGAACCGTTGTAATTCAAACCATCACAATTTCAGGATTGTCTGTACAGGCAAAATGAATGTCCAAGATAATTTTTAAACAACAGCTGAAGAACAAAGGCTTATTATCTGTGTATCTATGTGTTCCAGAACCTAATTATGACTAGTTTTTTAAGTATTTCAACATTATATAAGACACATGTCAGAAAATATTCTTTGTTGTATTTTATTTTCAAAAGTTGAAGTGGGAAAAAAAAAAGTTGAGGTGAATTTTCTCCACTTTAGTGCTTGAAATTTTCAAAAATAAAAAGTCTTTAAAAAAGGAAAAAAAGTAATTTCCAGAGGCAAGTCCTGTTATAAACTACCTCTGATGAATTTCAACACCTTTATGAATGATATTAGAAATGCTGCCTTATATAAAAGAACTGCCATTTAAATTTCAATGAAGCTAAAATCGTGACCAAACAAAGAGGAAACAGAAGGAAAGAGGCAGATTAGGGTATCTTCCCTACAGAGACTGGAGTCAGATGCTTGGGTGACTTTTAAAGCTGACTTACCAAACTTTTACATCACCTGTTAAGCCTGATCTGAATTTACAAGGTTTACAGTAAGAAGATCAGATTTTATACAAACCGTGGACTCCTTCCCACAATCTTGAAGTGTCTAGCTTTACAAGAACCCGCCCATACACAGTAAGGGAATGAGCATAGTAACTACACGAACACACTTCCTTCTCATCACGGCCCACGCATCTGGTTACTCTTGGCTCATGAATTTCCAATCTGACTCCAGAAGAAATACAAAAAAATGCACGTCTCAAGACTTAAGTAGCAAAGACATTTGGTCAGAACCTCTACCACGTTTGCCTCGTTGAGCACCAAGGACGAAAGACGCTGTGATTAAGACGCAACTGTGTGACAGTTCATCTGTTTCAGGGAGGAGGGGGGCAGACACAGGCACCAGAGCTGTGGAACGCGCAGGAGGGCTCGTCATGACACTCAGTTCATTTTCACAAGAACCAGTACCTTGAGCATCACTCTGACCCTACAGGACAGTTCTCACCAAACAGAAAACACATGAGCTACTGACTACAACCACTGGCCTCAAGAAGACCGACAGCTTGCTCAATTTTAGCTCCTTAGGACCAGGAGCCTCACAGGTCCCTCTGAAGAAGTATCAGGATCACAAGGGCTTCCAGAGGCCCTCCCAGCAGCCACCTGGCTTGGCTGGCCTGAGGTCACGTCAGCATCCTCTGTCACACCACAAGTCACAATTCAGAAATCCTGTGTGATTAGGTGTGTTCAAATAATACTTAAAAAAAAAAAGTGAATACCGAAGAACTCAAAATGAGCTTTAAAACCACAACTTAAGATTTTAAAATATAAGAAAAACTGGGGCAGTAAAAAAGAACAGTGGTCTTAAGCTGAGGGGACATAATGGGGGGGGTGGGCTACCAAGGAACACTGCCTCTGTGGATTCTCAGCAACCGACTCCCCAGGAAACACATTCTGTTAGAGGTGAATGGGTGAGGGACTTTGACTGGGTCAGCAGCTCCCAAGTCCTCATGAACAGGAAAGTGCAGCCTTTCCTGCTTTTCATGCTGAAATGTCTTTTGTCTCATGAAACAGCTTTTGGCTCATGAAACAAAGTGTTAAGACAATGCTGACGATAACCTTTAAACTTCTGTTTCAAATAAGTCATTATGGGGTACATCCCAAACCTATACAGTGCTGTGTATCAGTTACCTCTCAATAAAACTGGATGAAAAAAAAGAAGCACTTCATTAAAAAATTTAAAATAAACCATGTTTCTAAGTTAAACAACTCTAAGTTCTCTAAACTTTCTCATTTTATGTGAAATTCTTTATGATTCTGACTCAATCTCAGTGATGAGACATGCTCGCCCGCCAATCTATCTCTACGTGGTAACATCTTATTTTTCTGGTGTTTCATCAGCTATTTCAATGGTGTTTTACTCATTATTCCATTTTAATAACATGGCCAATATGGAGAGGAATCCATTGATGTGCTCCCAGCCTAAAGAGTTACAACGGCTTAAAAACAAACAACGCAAAAACAAAAACAAATGAGATCAGGCATCATCAGAAGTCACCTTAGGAAACAGGCTCTCTCAGGCAAAAAGCAGAAAAAATGCCTGTTAGTCGGAACCAAGGCAGAACCAAAGTTATAATATACTACAATTAAAGAATACTATTGCTAACAGAAGGACGGTAGCATGCCTACAGATTTAGGAAAAGACATGGGAACAGGAATCTGGCAAGTCTGCCTGGGACTGTCCCACTGAGGACCTCTCTGAGGGCAGACGCTCCTGTGGGGCAGCCGGGGCAAAAGAAACCAGTCTGCCCACTCCGCTCTGCCCACTCCTGAGACGGCGTCCGTCCGCCCCTACGGACACGGCACCGCGTCAGTTTCAGGCCTCTGACAGGTAGGTCTGGCGGGTCACTCGGGGCACCCACAACTCAGAGGAAGCGCTGTCACCCGGGACCGTGCAGCACGTGGAGCGTCCTGCCGAGCCCTAATGACCACACCGCTGCACACTCGGCCACAGCTCCTGCGGGCCCGCCGCCGGCCCTCGCCGCCCTCCAAATTCCCGGCTGAAGTGCCAGTGCCAGTGTCTGGCTCGCCAAATTGTCTCCCCCTGCTCCCCTCCTTCTTTCGGAGAAAAGACGGCGATCCAGGCGCTCACGGAAGCCTTCCCCAGGTGCGGGGAGTCAGGCGGGGGACCGGGAACCTCGGTGCGGCGCGGCCCCGCCGCCTCACCTTCCTCGCTCACGTCGTCCACGAAGTCCTCGGGGTCGCTGAAGGAGGGCTCGTCCGCGCCGCCGTCCTCCGCCGCACCGTCCGGCTCCCCGCCCGCCCCCTCGGACCCGGCCTCGGCCGCCGCGTCCTGCGCCTGCTCCGCCGGGCCTTCGCCTGCAAGCGGGGCAGAGAACTCCTCGGGCGGCGGCGGGGTGGCGCCGGGGGTCGCGTCAGCCTTCTCCTGCCCGTCGGCCGCAGGCTCGGCCGGCCCCTCAGGCCCCGGCCCAGCCTCCGCCTCCGCGTCCTCGCCGCCCGCCGCCTCCTGCACGCCGGGCCGCACCACCTCCGCCCCCGGCGTCGGCTCGGCGGCCGGCTGCTCCGGCCCGGGCTCGGCGCGCTGCTCGGCCGCCTCAGGCGCCGCCACGTTCTCCGCGTCCTGCATGGCCCTCCGCTGCCGCCTCGCCCGGTCTCGCCGCGCTTCCGACTCTCCCAGGCCGCACCGCGCGCCTACCTCCCGGCCATGTGCGTGCAGCGGGGCCGCCCACGGGCACGGGGGGGGCTCCCGCGGCCCGACGCCGTCCCGCGCGCCCGGACGAGCTCCCAGGGTGGGGCTGTGTCCCCCGGAGATTGCGGCGACTCCGCGCCACAGGCGCCGGCCCCAGGCCGAGCAGCACCCTTGTCTCGGTCAGTCTACAGGCGGCTTGAGAACCAGGCTACCCCACCTCAGACAGCGGGTGGTTCCGTCCAACATGGCAGCACCGCGTCCTCCTCCCGTCAGGCCGTGCGGCGGGGAAAGACCACCTGTGACGCCGCAGGGAGGCACCAGGCGTCCGCCGAGCGCGCGGAGCGCGAAAGGGCCCTTCGCCTAGACACTGATGCCAGCAGGAACGCTAACACAAAGTACTTTGGTTGGGATATCTTGGCCTTTCGCCAAACAGTTCAATTTACATTACCAAGTTCCACCTCTACACGTCGGCTTTTAGACTCGTCTACTGACTGGGCAAAAGAATGGGCGATTCCAAAAGATAGAAAGAATACTTGGCGAGCCAGAGAAGGCCCAGGCTGCTACAGGGACGACCGCCTGGCGCAACACAAAAATGAACGAGCGCTGCTTTGATCCCTCACACCCACGTTCACCGCGACGGCTGTAATTCCGCCTTTCCCCATTCTGATGGTCACCATGGTTCGACCCGCGCGGGCCTCCGCCCCCTGACGCGCGCCAGAGCGCGGCCACGGGGCGGGGCGGGACCAGGCGCGAGAAGGGGCGGGGCCATATCGTGATGGGCGGGGTCTCCGCGGGGCGGGGCTAGAGGGCGGGGCCTGCGCGGCCAGGTACTGAGTTACCTGAGGCGCAGGGGCGCGGAGACTCTGGCGGGTACACCGTGTTTGCTTCTCTGTCTTTTCGATTTTGCGGAGCACGCGGGCCTCCGCTCAGTGTAAATGTTTTAGTTCTTCTAAAAAAGAAGGCGGTGCTGCGGCTGCAGGCGGGACGGCAGTTTAGGACAGTTTAGGAAGACGGATAGGGTGCCGGCTGCCGAATGCGCTTCGTGCCTCTGAACTCTGCTCTGAAAAATGGATAACACTGTAAACGGAGTGCTGGGTGTATTTTACCTCAGCTGACAGGAAAAGAGAAAAGAAGCAGGGTTCTCAGGTTGCCTACCTGTGCGTTCGAACGCTCCCTGCCTTCCTTTCAGCTTTTGTAGCTGTGGGCAGGCCCCTCTCTGCCTCGGTCTCCTCACCTGTGAAATGAGGTGCAGGCCCAGGGATGGGCTTCAAAAGGCAAACTCACTTTTCCTGGCCGTCAGAGTTACCCTCCTAATTTCTGGTTTCTTCCACAGTTTTCACGGGTTGCTGGGCTCTGCCAGTGCTTTTCTTCTAGAATGTGCTATGGGTGACAAAGCAATGAATAATAAGTGAATGTGTGTGTGCTCAGTCGTGTCCAGCTCTTTCTTACCCCATGGACTGTAGCCCACCAGGCTCCTCTGTCCGTACGATTTTTCAGGCAAGAATACTGGAGTGGGTTGCCATTTCCTCCTCCAGGGGATCTACCCCACCCAGAGATGGAACCCTCCTCTCTTGCATCTTCTGCATTGGCAGGCAGATTCTTTACCACTGAGCCACCTGGGAAGCCCCTTAATAAGTGGATATTCACAGAGCACTTGAAAACAGCTGACCTTAGCTGGGCAGCTACATCTTTCTTAGGGAAGACTTCTGTGGTGTGCAGGTATTGTAAATAGTAGCCACTCATTACTGTTTTCCAGGGGAGGGACTCGTAGCTTATTCTGCAGGTAAAATTTTGAATGTGCTCATGATGCAAAAAAAAAAAAAAAAGGGTATTTTCAAAGTACATCCCGCAGTGTTCTAGCAAGAAGAGCAGCAAGACCATCTGTAGTTGCTCCACCCTCCAGAGTTTGAGGAGTGCTGAGGGGAAAGTTCAGCGTGTATCAGGGCCAGAGTGGGAGGCGCTCTGTGTGGGGGTACAGCAGGGAGGAGGCATTGCGGTTCTTGTCTCAGAGTCCCAGTGCCATGGGGGGCAACAGTCAGGAGTCAGATACCACAGGAGTGAAGCTAAAAGTACATCTGTCATAGAGTCAGAAATCCTTTGGCACCCCTTTCAAAAGGGGAAGCTAGGGAATCTCCCTGGCCGTCCAGTTGTTAAGACTCGACACTTCAACTGCTGGGTGTGCGGGTTCGATCCCTGGTTGGGGAGCTAAGTCCTACATGCCATGAAGTGCAGCCAGAAATTTTTTAAGAAGGAGGAGCCAGTGCTCGCTTCGGCAGCACATATACTAAAATTGGAACGATACAGAGAAGATTAGCATGGCCCCTGCGCAAGGATGACACGCAGATTCGTGAAGCGTTCCTTATTTTTTCACCTTATCTTCAACAAAGGAGGCAAGGATATACAATGGAAAAAAGACAACCTCTTTAACAAGTGGTGCTGGGAAAACTGGTCAACCACCTGTAAAAGAATGAAACTAGAACACTTTCTAACACCATACACAAAAATAAACTCAAAATGGATTAAAGATCTAAATGTAAGACCAGAAACTATAAAACTCCTAGAGGAGAACATAGGCAAAACACTCTCCGACATAAATCACAGCAGGATCCTCTATGACCCACATCCCAGAATTTTAGAAACAAAAGCAAAAATAAACAAATGGGACCTAATGAAACTTAAAAGCTTTTGCACAACAAAGGAAACTATAAGCAAGGTGAAAAGACAGCCCTCAGATTGGGAGAAAGTAATAGCAAACGAAGCAACAGACAAAGGATTAATCTCAAAAATATACAAGCAACTCCTCCAGCTCAACTCCAGAAAAATAAATGACCCAATCAAAAAATGGGCCAAAGAACTAAACAGACATTTCTCCAAGGAAGACATACAGATGGCAAAAAAAACACATGAAAAGATGCTCAACATCACTCATTATCAGAGAAATGCAAATCAAAACCACAATGAGGTACCATTACACGCCAGTCAGGATGGCTGCTATCCAAAAGTCTACAAGCAATAAATGCTGGAGAGGGTGTGGAGAAAAGGGAACCCTCTTACACTGTTGGTGGGAATGCAAATTAGTGCAGCCACTATGGAAAACAGCGTGGAGATTTCTTAAAAAGCTGAAAATAGAACTGCCATATGACCCAGCAATTCCACTTCTGGGCATACACACCGAGGAAACCAGATCTGAAAGAGACACATGCACCCCAATGTTCATTGCAGCACTGTTTATAATAGCCAGGATATGGAAGCAACCTAGATGCCCATCAGCAGAAGAATGGATGAGGAAGCTGTGGTACATATACACCATGGAATATTACTCAGCCATTAAAAAGAATTCATTTGAATCAGTTCTAATGAGATGGATGAAACTGGAGCCCATTATACAGAGCGAAGTAAGCCAGAAAGATAAAGATCATTACAGTATACTAACACATATATATGGAATTTAGAAAGATGGTAACGATAACCCTATATGCAAAACAGAAAAAGAGACTCAGATGTATAGAACAGACTTGTGGACTCTGTGGGAGAAGGCGAGGGTGGGATGTTTCAAGAGAACAGCATCGAAACATGTATATTATTTAGGGTGAAACAGATCACCAGCCCAGGTTGGATGCATGAGACAAGTGCTCCGGCCTGGTGCACTGGGAAGACCCAGAGGGATCGGGTGGAGAGGGAGGTGGGAGGGGGGACCGGGATGGGGAATACATGTAAATCCATGGCTAATTCATTTCAATGTATGACAAAAACCACTGCAATGATGTAAAGTAATTAGCCTCCAACTAATAAAAATAAATGGGAAAAAAAAAACAGGAAAAAAAAAAAGAGGAGGAGCCAAACCCTGCTCTCCTTAAGTGTGGGTGCCCCTAATTGCTCAATTCTGACAAACACGATGTGGCAGAAGTGGCGCTAGGTGACTGCCAAGTGTAGGTCCTGAAAATGATAAGCTTCCACCTGGCTCGCTCTCTCTCGGGTCACTGGATCTGAAAGAAGCTAGCCACCTTTCCCTCAGGACACCCAAGCAGCCTGTGGAGAAGCCCGCTCTGTGGAGGCCCCCCGTGTGGAGGAATTTCGGTCCCTGGCCACCATCAGCACCCAGTTGCCAGACCCCTGAGATGGAAGCGGCCCTCCGTCCCCAGTCCAGCCTCGCTGGCTGCAGCCCCAGCCCAGTTCTTGAGAGAGGACTCAGGAGACTCCAAACCTGCCAGCACCTTGATTTTGGACGTCCAGCCTCCGGATCGGTGAGAAATAAATGTGTTGTCTTAAGCCTTCCGGGCTGTGGTATTTTGTTATGGCAGCCTGCACTAATACATTAGATAAACATGTGAAACACGTAGAAAAAAACCTGGAAGGACACGCGTCCACCTGCAAAGGGCTGGATGAAACTGAGCGGTAGCGGCGGCGGCGGTCAGAGGAGAGTGCTGGCCGTGACGTCTGGGTGCAGACACGCAACTGTTCACCGGGACACTCTTTCCGCATCTCTGTATGCTGGAAACTTTTTATAATAAGTGGTTGGGAAGGGGTGGGGAGGACTTCAAGAGGCCCCCTGCTGGAACAGTTGGAGCCTCAAAAGGAGTAAAAAGCTGTATATGTTTGACATGTTTAAGTTCATTTGTTTGTAATGCTGTGTTTTAAAAATCCCGTTGCTCACAGGTGAATATTGCTGGGGCATTGTCTCATTCTGAAAATAGATAAAAGGCTGAAGCAATACAGTTAATCTTGCCTTTTAGATTTTATCTTTATATTTAAAGGTAAGCAAACAGTTGATGAGGGAAAGCTCTTACTTATAAAATAATTCTAGCCAATACATGCAGAAGGTTCAATAAAATTAGAGAAGCAACAGTTTGCAAACCTTATGAAATAACCATCCAAGGAGTGATCCTGAAACATTGGTGAGAGGTTGGTGGGGGACTGTGAATTGGAGGGACCAGGAT